CACGTGCCATTTTGAAAGCGATACTTGGCACCTAAAGGTCTCTTCCTAATTCTCCAGCTAACCGTTTCACATCGCCGCTATCTCAAAGCCTCTTTCTGAAATTTATTTTCATTTAATTTATCTCGTGTTTTTGTAAGATTGTAGAATATTTTACATAACAAACCTCTATCGCAGATGACCCTTTTATTGTAAGATTCGTGAAAAAAGACTAAACAGATTGTCTGGACCAGGACTCTAACCCAGATTTTTCGCTTTCCTAGCGACTGTTTTTATTTATTAAGCTTTCTAGTTGTTTAAAAAACTATCATCTTTTGATTAGATATTGTCTGCTTAACAAAGTCTCAAAAATTACCTGAACGATTAGAAAACATCAAATCAGACGTAATGTATTTATAATATTTTATCATTTCATTCTTGAGATAAAGTATTCTGTATGTATTAGTAATAATCATTTATTTCAGCTTATATGCAAGTAAGATTGCTTTACAATTGTTTTTTCTCGAATCATTTAAAATAAACTATATTAAAGTTTCATCAAAACATCATTATATCTATTAATGAAAAGGAAATAACGATACTTAGATTCGTTGAAAATTTGTATTACATGGAAAAAATTATATTAAGTTAACCCGATTGAAGAAATACTTAGTAAAATCTTATCAAAGGGATTTTGAAAGATTGATCTATAATCACATGATTCATCACTTAAAGATAACAAAAATTCATTGTGAACAAAAATATGTTTTTAAGTGATTAAAAGGTGAGAAGTTTTAAGAAAATTATAAGAAACTTTGTTCGACGTTATAATTGAATCAAATCGAATAACAGAAAAGTGGGGATAGACAAGACAATAAGTATAGATATTACTGTAATTAGACACTGTCAGTTTATAAAACGATCTTCATCTAACAACTTCTCGTTAATTATTGTCTTTATTACTTTTATTTGTTTGTATGAATTTCATGACACTCTCTGACACCTGTTTGAAATCAACAGCACATGATTTTCTAAAACGATCAAACATTTAAAAACTAATCGTACCCACAGACACACACATCGTTACTTGACTTTAGTGATCGAACGGAAATTAATTGTTTCAACGAAACAGAGTTGTTAACGTCTCGTAGATTATTATTATTATTATTACTTTTTTTTTTACGGAATCAACGTTTCTGTGATTGTGAACAATAAAATAATGGCTCCAAACATGTTTGTTATAACATTTGATCGACCTGGTGCAACTTATTTACCTGGAGAAAATATATCTGGTTGTGTTACCATCGCATTGAGCGAGAAAAAAAGTGCACGAGGTAAATATTATTTGAAAGATCAATGAAAAATCTTTCTGTTATTTTATTATAACAAACGTTAGATTATTTGTTTGAAATGATAATTCAGCTAAAAAAAAAAAAAAAACAACAGGTATTTGTTATTTTGAAAATCTTTAAAGAATGATTGAATTTGAATGTGCATCTTAGTATATGTATACTGCATAGGTAAATGAATAGAACACAATGTAACAGCTCATTAATTAAATTTTCTATACAAAAAAAAAATGCAATTATAGAAAATTAATATCAAATTTGATCAATCATATACATTTTTTTATTTTATTATTTATAATATTATTTGTTGTGAATGAATTTTATTCTTATTAAATGATATAAAATTATTATAAAAATATACGGCGATATTGGCATTAAACAATTAATAAATGGATTATATATTTATTCCAAATATTACTGTTGAAATCTAATTGTATAAATTTGAATTGCTATCTAATCAACTTAATCATTGATTCTATCGATCATCATTGTATTTTTTTTTTTTTTTTTTTTAAAACAATTCATTACGAAATAATAATTCTGAAATTTGTTATCTGTATAAAAGAAAATGAAAGATAAAATTGAAGAATTAACGTGATAGCAAAAATGATTCATTCTTCTATAGAAAATGTAAAGTTGAAACGTCAACAGGAAGCACTCACACGTACTGTAATTATTTTCAAATTGAAAAATTAATTACTTATGATTTACAAATATATTTTGATTTGAATGACTTACTTGTTTGTTTATTATATAATTTCTAAGGAAAATTAAATAATCTAGTTACTTTTCATTATCTATCTGTCATTATTATCGTTATAATTGATGTTAACTATAATAATGATAATCAAAATTAGCAACGTTTCAAATTTACATCATCAATTTATTCTAATCGAAGACAAAATTTACTTGAAATAAAATAGAAAGTAAAAGAAATACGTACGAATAATATTAAAAAAAAAAAAAAAAAATAAACACACTTCAGATTTATATATCAATCTGAAAGGAGAGGCTCGAGTTCATTGGACGACCTCGGAATCGTCAAATGATATAGACAGAAATGATACTTCATCGAGTTCACATCATTCTGCAACTGAAAAATATTTTAGCATGAAACAATCTTTATTAAGAAGATCGACTGGTAAATAAGAATTTTCTAATATTTTATATGTACGAAAGAAAAAGTAATATTTATGTTTACTAAAAATCCATTTAAAATACAGAAATCGACAGAATAGAACTTCCGGAAGGAGAAAGTAAATATTATTTTTCATTTCAATTACCCATAAATATACCATGTAGTTTTGAACACAGTACTGGATACATTCGTTACACGGCAAAAGCAATCGTCGATATACCATGGAGATTCAATTGGTGGACAAAATCTGCGTTCACCGTTGTCACACCATACGATTTAAATCATTTTTCAGATCAATGTGTAAGTTATTATTTTTTTTTCTTAAATTAGAAAAAAAAAAGACAATAATAAAATACATGCCATAAATCTTGTTTCGATTTCAGATGGGAATAGACGACGAAATATCAAGAAATTTTAGTTATTGTTGTTGTTTTCAAAAAGGCTCGTTAAACATTAAAATAAAAGTTCCAAATTTGGGATACGTTCCAGGACAATTTATAACTACCGAAGTGATTGCGGATTTAAAATCGTCAAACATTCAAATAATAGGAATTACGACAAAACTAATAGAAGTAATTATTTTCTTGCCATTTATTCTATAAATATATCAATTTAAATTCCTAACGTTATAGTGATCAATCAGATTTCTAGGAACTTACCTTTCATGCGCACATCTCGACAAAAACGACACAAATCGTCGTACAAAAAAATAAGAAGCAAGGACCGATTAAAAATGATCATGAAACGAAACTGAAACTTTATGTTCCATCCCTGCCACCATCTAATTTAGAACATTGTGGTATTATTGGTTTGAAATATCGTTTACATGTGATAATTCATTTCGATGGCATGTAAGCTTAAAACAACTGTGTGTTATTGAATATATATTAATAATGCAAAAGCAAAATTAAATAATAATCGACGGTAATATAAACATTACCAAAGTTCTACGATTAATTGATCTGGTTCTATTCAACAGGCACAAGAAAATCGAGAAAAAATATCCAATATTAATTGGAACAGTACCTTTAAGTACTTTACCATTGACAGAATGGACTCCAATAAATGATACTCAACCAACAGCACCAGAAATTGATGAAGAACCATCAACATCTACTTCTATAAAACCTATACCTGCTGTACCAGTACATGGTCATACTGAATTACCAAAAAGAAATGATTTACCAGGAACATCTCAATCTAATTTTAACAAATTTCACTTACCAAATCAACCAGTAGGATGGGACATGGGTAATTCTAAGGAACCCACAATTTTCGATGTTTATTCTGCTGTCTCTTAAAATAAGCAGCAATTTATCACGTTTTTTTTTTTTTATAGTACCACCTTCTTATGAAGAATGTACGCAAAGAACTGATAATATTAAGGATAGTGATGATTCGAATTCTGTTTATGGTGCAGATCAGCCATTTGCACCAAGATATCCAGTTTTTAATTTTATGTATTATCGTAAGTCTACATATGTACATATGCAATACGTTTTGAATTTTTTTTTTCAGATTCTGATTAATTTATATTATCGTATCTTTCCAGAATCCACCTGAAGTGAATTATTTTATGTTACATTCACATAAACTTTAATGTGTATATGATACTGTCATTCTGACTGCATACTAATATATATATAAAGTATCATAAATGAAAGTACGATAAACCAATAAGAAATCGACGACGCGTGTACGAAAGTACAGAATCTATCTGATATAATCTATTCTCAGCACTTGATCGTGATTATTGTCTGTACACAATTATCATTAAGTTATACATAAGTGTTTCTACATGAATAATTGCTTATAATGGCTAATTATGTATATGTATATACATACGTGTCCTCACAATAATAACTTACATGCGTACAAATAGATATTGTTAATTTTTTTTTTAAATTCTTTTTTTTTCTCTTATATATATATATAGTTTTATACGTACCACAATGTATAAAATAACCAAAGATAATTATTTGAAATATTTCTCATAAGTAGTGCGCAAATATGTGTGTTCCTTGTTTTTGTCTAAAAGGGTGAAATTAATCGCTCTTTCGAAAAAAATTCTATTATATTTACACAATTTATTTTTATGTCTCAACATTATTGTATCATAATCATAGTTATCATTGAGTCATATTAATAAAAAAAAAAAAAAATTAACATTAATTAGAATCATGTAAAAGGGAGAATTGGAGTTTCGTCAGTAGTTCAATGTATAATATATGTATATATATAAAAAGGAAATAGCGAGAGATTCGTCGGAAATTTGTGTTGATTGATCGAAATAGATTTTCTTTCTTCTATTTTACGATCACATTATCTAAGAAATCTGTTCTCTTGTTCTCTCTTTTTTTTCTGTCTGTCTGTCTGTCTTTCCTTCCTTCTTTATTTCTTTCTTTCGTTTGACGAGAGAAAGAATTTCGAATAAAAACAAATTTAGCAACACAAAAATACTGAAAATCTGCTAATAGAGAACGATCAATGAGAATTTGCAACGATCTATGAAGTTTTAATCGTCGGATCGCTCGTCTTCACTTTTTCTCGGCTCCATGCGAAATACGCACTAGAACTTACTTTTCCTTTTTCTTCTTTCTTTTTTTTTTTTTCTTTTACTCCATGCTTTTTGTTATTTGTTTTTCCTGGTTAACGTTCGTTATTACATATAGAGAGGATAGCGAATCTGTACGGTACAACGATCGTTGAATTTGAAGACAACCAGAGATGCCTGGATGAATACGTCTTTGTAGGAACTAAATTCAACCATCTTAATATAACGTACGGTTATGCTTTACAATATAAGTGTTTTCCCGATAAGTATTTCGCAATCGAACGACATCACGATTAAAGGAAATATTAATAAAATAATAATAATAAAAAAGAAAGAAAAATTACAAAATCAAAAACATGTTTCTATATAATATTATATATACATATATATATGTATATAAATATTTATTTGAGCAATAGATTATATATATTATTTATTATATTAACTCAATTGTTTTTATAACAAATTTCGGTCAAATTTTGTCGTATACATATATATCATGTACACGTTTAATAAAATTTTATTGTGTGATAATCAAAATAAAGGAAAAAAAAAGTTATAACAAAAATAAAAAAAGAAATTATTAACAAAATGATAATATTAATCTGAATGAAATGTCGCAAAATCGTCCGAAACGACATACACGTAGAAGAAACAAACACTGCGATGGTTCTCTTTACTTTTTGTGTGTCAGGAAGTATTACATATACCTCTTCACTGTACGAACGTATTTTAATTCTAATTAGTAATCGGCGTTGTAAAAATACTTATACTTATGCATTATGGTTCGAAACCAAATTGCGAATGTGTTGTCGAATGTATGAACCGTATCAGGCACTATATTAGCGCGCTTGCATGAAAATCGCGTATTACTTTTGCCATTAATCACTTTAGTAATAAGTAAGAAATAATAAAAGTAAAGTCAGGAATTATATGAGCTTGGACTATATTTTTCTTTAAAAACAAACTAAAGAAAAAGATAATAAGCGATAATAAGAAAATATTTGCATATAGACATTCTTTATAAAAAAAAAAAAAAAAAAAAAAAATGAAATGAAATAAAATAAGAAAAACATTTTTGAAAAATGCTCGCAAAGTAAAAGAAAGTTAATTTAGTTTCTAACAAAATCCAATCTCTTTTTATAATACTATATAAATGATTTGTCTTTTACAAAAGTCTTATTGGAATATCATGAAGAAAGAGGAAGATCCGTTTCACAAAAGTCAGTATAATTCGTATATATATATATTCGTTATATGTATATATATATATATATAACGGACCTAACTCTCGAGATCATATAAAGTATTTTTAAAAATATTTTTAACAACAGCCATTGATAGAAAAATGAAGTCAAGATTGTCAAGAGTATCGTATCGATATTCATGTCCTTTACTCGATAATGTTTCCTGACTTTCTTCTTATATTCACTAATTATCCTGAATTTTTGGAGGAGAAAGGAACTGTGCGCTCCGACTTTACAAAAATTTCTTTCACTTATATTACAATAACCTTCTCTTGTTTTGAGAGAATCAACTCTTAATATATTATCATAAATAAATTTGGTCTATCGGTAATATTGTGAATACGCCGGTACAAATACTGGCAGTATTTGGTTAAGTAAAAAATCATGATCACTAGAAGAGGTAACTGGTACCGGGTAGTTAGAAAGTGTTACGAATAATCTTTGTTATTACCGTCTGTCATGTGTAAAGGAACAACGCGATATATCAATTCACACAAATAATAATAATAATAATAATAATAATAATAATAAAAAAAGGAATGTGCGACACGCACGTTACAACTTCCAGTAAACTTGATCTAAACGTTCCTTAAATGAATGGCCGGGGATTTTTGCAAATCTATCCACGATAGAAGACAATATCATTTACGGTTCAAGTGTTTGTCTTTTATCCTTATCTATTACCATAGATCCATTTATGCTATTATACAATGCTAAGTGTTAATAAATCTTAAACAACAAGCTGTACATTAAACACAATTTTTGAGATATATCTCGTGAATAGATCTGTAAACCAATAAAAAATAATATTCCTCTTAATAAAATAAATTTAAAATATAACTAATCATGAAAGATTCCTTTAACATTTTCATATGATCTACAAAATTGCCCCGGTCAGCATGCATCCTATACTATCACGACCCATATTTATCTGCTTTTTGCAGCACTCTATTTTAAAAAAATAATCAATGTTGTCGCAACACTGTGGCACATTGGGTTCAAGATGAGCATCAACATTTTGCATATACTAATACATCTACATCCAATGTTAACGATAACATTAATCAAAGTTAAGAAAAGTCATAATTTACATTTTTGCAATGCGTTGATCCTAATCGTGAACCAGAGGACACTGAGTTGTGCACTGTATTGTGTCTGTATATGTGTACGGTATGTGTTTGCGCAATCACTTTACATTATTACAGTTTTTCTTTTCTTTTTTTTTTTTTCAGTCTGCACGCTTTCCAAAGACCTACAAAATAAAGATCTCATTTGTTCCATTCTAAACACATAATATAATTAAAGGTTGCATAGATCATAAATCTAAATTAAAATAAAGTTGAATATATTTAGATTGTTATAAAATCAACTTTAAAATGTAACAGTTAATTTCATAAACAATGGACAAAATAAGAAATTGAAAAATATCATTTAAAGGTCAGGAATCCTTACCACAAATGGTTTAACCTTCCCTTTTAATAGCACCTGGCGCTTCGGCTAAGCCTTTAACTTTGAGTCGATCTGCAGTCTTAAGAAAAGCTGATAGTTGATCTTGCGAAACATTTACTTCACCAGCATACATAAATTCTAAAATTGCTTGCAGATGACCATAAGCGACATCTTTTAAAATAATGATAGGATGTTTGGACGGATTTTCCTATAATATATTAAACACAGTAAATTAACAATGCATATAAAATAACTTTTATCTTGATCCATGAAATCATACCTCTAAAAGGGATTTAAAGTAAGGACTACAAGCTGACAAAACCATTTTATGCGCTTTACATGTTTGCCCATCACAAGCTAACGTTACATCAGTAAAACTTTTCTCATCTCGTAAATGTTTAAATGATGACACCATATTAGATTGGAAATCATTCCACTTGAGAAAAAATTGCTGCTGTTCTCCTGCCATTGTGATATTCCAAATTTCCTATAACCACTTAAACCTGTAAAAGATTCAAATGTTCATATCAATAAACAATTTTCATCATTCAGTTGTTCAAATTCTCCAACCAAATTCCAAAACTGGAAAAGTTTATTAAGAGAAAAAATAAATGACTGATAAAAGAAAAAAAAAAGAAAATATATCGAGAGAAAAACAGAAATTAAGAAATCTTATAACAATACTGAAAAAGATACTTTGAAAAAATCACGTAAAATAGCATACATTAATAGAGTACTTTAACACATATCTGACATACGTAATTATGACAATTCTTAGTATGAATTTACACGTAGTAACATTTTTAGGTTAGTTCAGAAAATCCCGCGAAAATACACAATTGTCAAGGAAAGACGCGAAACTATGAAGATCGAAGGCATCGAGTATTCGTTCCTCTAATCTTCGAGAGTTATCGTATCGAACAATTGAGTGGATGATGACGGATCATGATATTTCCTTTTAACACAACAATACGCGTGCGTCCATCGGTACGTTCCGTCAAATGCGCTCTGGCCCAAAAAAACGGCCCATCGGAATTAAACGCGCGAGAAAAATAACCTTACAAAATATTTTATACTCACTTCGTTTATATTGGCCACTGGAGACCTCAATTACAGTGACTAAACTGCACAAAGAACGAGAAAATTATACACGTATATTGCCGAAAACTTTTTATGCGAATGCTACCAAATTTTTGTTGTGGCTAATATCACGGCGAGGATTGTATTCGGTTAAACTCGGCACTCTTCGTCTTAATTCGGCTGAGAAATTCCGTACCAATAGAAGTTATCTCTTTAACTACCGTAAGATGGTGCTATGCACGCCATTTCATTTATCAATTTTCGATTAATATCGAAAGCCCAATGAGAACATTTCTGCCAAGATTTCTTCGAATATAAAAAACTAATTGTAATTTGATATTAATGAAGAAAATATTAATCTTCATGAAAGAATGTATGTTAAGAGGGAGATTTTATGATTTCTATTCAAATATATAAAAATACCGCTTTAACAAATTTAAAAAAAAAAATGATATGTAAATTTAATTTATCCTATGTATTTAAAATTATAAATATTTTCCAAAAATAATACAACAACTAATATTTATTATATTGTATAGAGTTTATAAAAATTAAAAATTATAATCGAATTCATTGTTAAAAGTAAAAAATATTCGTAACTATATATTTTTAATTCAACCGAGAATAAAAAAAAAAAAATAGAAAATGCTCAAAGAAAATTATCCTTAGCAAGTTTCTTGATTATTAATTATCATTCAATCTTATTCTTATGTTAAATCAAGCACGAATTTCAAATGAAATGTATTCGTATATATAATATAAAAATCTCGCTATAGAAATTAGTAATCGTTAATAAACTGTTTAGGAAAATAAAAATTGCGAAAAGAGATAATCGAAATGAATTTAGACTAAATAATGCAAAAGTGCAGACGTTTGTAAATTCGATGCTCCCTCGAGGGAACTTCGTCGATTGCGCGATCTCGTGTAAGTGATCGGTCGACACACTTCTCGAGGCGCTATCCGATGAATCGAGAAGGGGACTTTATATAGCTATAGCTTACTGGAAATCGGTTCCGGCCTGACGCCCTCCGACGTTCAAACGATGATGGTTCTTCTATGTATTATTACGTCGTCACCGCTCTGCGACGTATATATTTCAAAAAACAAATATGAAAATAGTCGGAATAAATAAACACATGTTTACGTAATCTAATAAAATGATTCAAACAAATCAAATTCAACCAAAGCGACAAGAAAATTAATACATAGAACAAACATTCCTGTTTGACTAATCAACGAAATGATAGAAAAATGAAAAAATAGGAAAAAAAGCGAACACAAAACTAAATAATCTTAAACATTTAAAGAGGACGCTTAGTGTCGTTTGCTATACGCGGAACGTCGAGGAAAAAGGAAATTCTTGGCCGAGGAAATGAAAATTTACCCACTCGAAGGCCAACGTGTTAGTTAGATGTAGTAGACATATATTTTTATATAAATAGCGAAGCGAAAAGAGAGTTTTCGATCTGATCAATCTATCAATCGATCTGACTAGATAGAGTAGATTCGAACGGGATCCATACGTTATGTGGGACGGTACAATCGAGCTAAACGAACTGAAAATTCGACTACGTTATTTTATAAATAGATGATCGAGAAAAGCCGAGTTGCCGGAAAACTTTCCTGCGTGTCTCGAACATGCGTTCATAGGTAGGTAACGAAAGAAAGAGAGAAAGAAGATACATAGGTAGGTAGGTAGGTAGGTAGGTAGGTAGCTAGCTAGATAGATAGATAGATAGATAGATGCATACATAGACAGATAAATAGATAGAGTGACTCGTCTAGCGTACGAAAGACAAAGTAGAAAAAGAACGAAAGAATAGTGGGACAGACAGGCGGACGGATGGACGAAGTGTTTGTAGTAGTGTAGTCTAGTAGTGTTAATAGTAATGTACTACTGGTAGTAGTAGTAATAGCAATAGTAGTAGTAGTAGTTAGGAGAGGAAAGGAGTTCTTTGGCGGGTGAGAGGAGTGATATAGTATAAAAGAGTGAGGAGTTGGGCAGGGGTCGGGAGGGGGAGAGGGAGAGGCGTCCGACGGCGTCGCACTTTCGGCTTGCGATCACAAGTGGGAGGGAAGTAGATACGTATTACGCATGCGCGGAACCACGCCGCGCGCCACATTGAAAGCTTGCGACATGCTGCCAAACCGTTCAGTCGCGCGCCAACTTTCGTGCGGGTGGGATTTCTTTCTTGGTTTCCCAAGCTTTTGTTCTGTACGCGTATTTCTATTTTATCGCGAGTTCTATATATACATATAGATATATATATATATCTATAGATATAACGATAGTAATATAATTACTATTGGTAAATAGTTAATCAGGTGACAATATCGATAGTTTATAGAGTAATAACATTAGAGGAAAAAACGGAGAAATCAAAATAAAACAAGAATATTGAATATTCTGTCGGCGCGTTGGCGCGAGCCGAAAGCTCACCGTTTCCACTCAAGAAGAGTAGAGTAAAGAGAAGTAAGAGTAAGTGGAAAAGAGAAAAAAGAAGAGGAAGAAGATAAAGAAAGAATCGCGTGTCGTCCTCGCGGTGAGAGAGAAGAAGTCGCGCGCCAACGCAACGTCATTGGCGTACTTCTCTTTGCTTATAGTTCTTTCTTTCTCACTCATTCATTCTTTCTCTCTTTTGCTCGGTCTAAGCCTTTTTCATCGGTGATAACGTGCTATACTATATTAAGAGCGCTTCTCAAGAGTGCCAAGTTTATTTCCCACACCGTTCTATAATATTTGTGATGTGCGAGTGAACGATGGAATCACCGGTCATGTACGATTCGGGGGCTCACCAGGCCCAGGTGCAAGGGGCAGCCGATCCGAAAAAATCTCAGGTGCTGAACAACAACAATAATAACAATACTGCGAATAATAATAATAACAATCATCAGAACAACAACAATTCCGCCCTACAAGTTAATCACAATCACAATCATAATCACAATCACAATCAACAGCAGCAGCAGCAGACCAGCTCGGTCGTGAGTAAGGTGTCCGGAAGCAAAGCGAGCTTGCATCAGCAATACGCAGAACACTGTGCAGCAGCGGGCGAGCTGACGGACCTAAATACACCCGAAATATCGCTAGATCTTCAACATCTAATCGATGACAGTCATTTCAACGACGGTCTTTTGGACATGTTAGGTGCAAGCAATGGTGGTGTCAAGCACGGCAGAACGACCGGCTATCCACGCACCACTTTAGCATATATGCCCCAACCAGTTCATAGTGGGGCAAGTTATCATCAGGGAAGTAACAGTTGTAGCGACAGCAACAGCTCGAGCTCTGAATCACCTAGCATTAAAGAGGAACCTCTGGACCCAGCGGACTACCGGCGTCACTGCCCACAATACCCACCTGCCGGTTACAGTCCCGTAACGAATGGTCCCTTCGCCAATGGCGGTCCTACCTTCACAACCTTGACACCGACCACCGTGCCTGGTGGACACCCTGGTGCACCGGTTCACCAGCAACCACCTAGGAACGGTCAAACGCCCGGCCAAACTCCCGGTGGAACTATCAAATCGGTAATGGCCCATCAGCATCATGCAGTTGCTGCGGCAGCCGCGGCAGCAGCTGCCGTTGCCAGAAAACAAACCAAGGCCATCGACAAGGCTAGCGATGAATACAGAAGACGAAGAGAAAGAAACAACATTGCCGTAAGGAAAAGTCGCGAAAAGGCGAAGGTACGTTCGCGTGAAACTGAAGAGAAGGTAAAACTCCTTGTCAAGGACAACGATCTCCTTAAGAAGAGGATCGAACTGCTCACAGAAGAACTCAACGTCCTACGTTCGCTCTTCAGCAGCGTTGGAGTCGTACCAGAGCAACTCCACCGTGAGATTACTAGGCATCTCGACCAATTCCAACAGCACGCCGTCGGACCCATGTAGCCCTCGCCGCTCACATCGATCAGAGTCTACTAGCCGAGCCTAGGAAAATAGGAAAAAAAAGAGAAGGAAAGAAAGAAAGAAAGAGAGAGAGAGAGAGACATAGACATAGATTATCTTGTCGTTGGCGATAAACGCAAGTGCGTTAGCTACGAGTAATGCACATGTTCTATGACGTGACATGTCATTTAAAATCGTCGAGATCTTTCTAAAGTTGCGCGGCCACCATCTTTAAAAATATGTCTTATCTTTTCTCTCTCTCTCTCTCTCTCTCTCTCTCTCTCTCTCTCTTCTGTCTTTCTATCCCCATATATTTTTCTCTTTCTTTTATCTAATTTCTTTCAATTCTCTTCTTACTCTGCGCTATTTCATGTCTAATTCATTTTCGTTTTATTATTATTTTCCTTGTCCTTGTAATTTTTTTCTACGAACTCTGCGTAAGACTGGGTGACTTGAAACGCGCGATTAGTACGACCAACGCCGTCCACCGGATGGAGAAGTGGGTGGAGGGGAGGCTAAATAAATTAATTATAATTAAAATAATAATAATAATACTATGATAACAATAATAATTAAAAAGCAAAAAAAAATAATAATAATATTAATTATGATGATAAAATAAGAATACGAGTTTAGACAATATATTTGAAACGCGTTTTCGCGCCTAACAAATGAATATCATCGCATATTTTTCAATCGTTATTCTATTCTCTCTTTATTAGATATTTTTTGAATTTAAACAAACCTAGGATTTATAATTATATTTTATTGCTCTTGTTACCAAGTACCTAAGGAAAGAGAAAAGAAAACAAAAATACAGCCGCGCATGAAAACAGAAAAGATGAGAACAAAAGAAAAAAAAAATGAGAAAAGAAAAAAAGTACGGAACGTTGAAATACTGTCAATTATTATTCGCATTATCTATTTTGATTTTTCTTCTTTATTCGTGCTCCATTGAACGCATAAATCGAATCGCATATATATATATATATATATATATATATATATATATATATATATATATATGTTTTATATATATATATATTTTGACTGGATTGAAAGTGCCGCCGCGGTCGCTTTAGCGAGATTAAATATTTCGATNTATATATATATATATTTTGACTGGATTGAAAGTGCCGCCGCGGTCGCTTTAGCGAGATTAAATATTTCGATACTGACAAACGTTAACTCTCTCTCTCGCGCGCACGCGTGTTTTCCGTGCGGCCCCGACCACTCTTCTACACGTCCCTTGTATTATATAGCTCTTATTAATTTTATTATTATTCAAACATGTATATATATACATACTACACACACACATATATATATATATGTACACATATGAAAGTTAATATATTTTGTTAGAATGAGATGAGGAATAAATGTATAGTTTGTTGTGTATGTATCCTTATGCGTGAATGATATTGTGTTGTGTTGTGTGGTGTGGTGTGGTACATGTGTAATGTAAGAGGACAAAAACGCGAGCGATGCGTTGACAAATAAAAACAAAAAATTCAATCAATTTGATAAACTAAAATCGTACGTTCAAATGTGTTATTATTAAGAGTATGCATGTGTAAATGTGTGTATGTGAGTACGCGTGTGACAAAAAAAGAGAGAAAGAGAAAAAGAGATAGATAGAAAATGAAAATTATTATGTGAAAAAGAAGATCGCGCCGACGTTACCTGGCTTCGGCCTAACAGCCGATTCCTTATATTTTCAGTTACCACTTTTAATGTTTAAAGAAAAAAGAAAAAAAAAACGCGTGAAGCGGGCTTCATTTTATGTTATTATTATTAGTATTCTTACTTTTTTTTTTTGTCTTAAATCATAGCGTTCTATCGCGTATATACGAGAAGACGTTTGAATCATGTTCTGTACGTTTCTACTACGCCGTGAGAGATTCTGGATAAAGAGATGCGTCTCTCCGTCCCTCAATGAGAAGATGTACACACAACAGAGAACATACACACGCGCAATACGTATAAACATGTAATATTGTGTGAAAACGGTTAATAATGTATGTTAATATTACACTACATCTACACAAAGCAGAAGAAATACACAGAATCGTACGACAAAAACAACAACACAAAAGCAGAAACATAAATACATATGTATATATATATATACTTACACACGTATTACACACGCATCGAAACAAAAAAGAAAAAAAATGAAACGCACACGAGCGCGCACGAGTGTGAATGTCATATGACACGCGTGACTTGGCGTATGACTGATATATGTTAGTTACGAGATTACCTGTCACGGTTGTCTTCTTGACTATGCACAAATATATTTTGATATAAAAAGTATTAGGACGGACCGTGTTTTCTATCTAATATTCAATTACTTTCCATATCCTTTTTCCTATTCTCTTTTTGTTTCCACGTTTATATTCGCCCACGCCAAAAACCATGTTCGTGTCTCTTTTATCCAATGAGGATGATAATACATCACCGCTCAAGATAGGACTTAATTCGCATAAAGACGATCATGTTTTACATTTCTCATTAGATCAGTCGAGATATTTTAGAAGAAAAAGAAAAAAGAAAAAAAAATAATAAAAATAGAAAATGAAAATTGCATACTCGGCCAGAAAGCAATGCCTTACATTAATAAGTAATAATAATAATAATAATGACGCGTGTTTGGAAAAGTGGTACCGTCAGTATTCACATTATGTATGCATCTTACTCTTCGCGATAATGCAAACAAGGTCATCGATCAAAGACTCTTTCCTTTCTATAAAGCCGATCCGCATGTCGATAGCCCATAAGTCAGGTTGACTTATCGTTTGAGCTTTGTCTGCTCGATTAAAGCGCACGTGTATAGAATTTACATATATATGTATGTATATGTATATAGTAGTAATTACGTTGGAGACGCGTAATTTAACAAATTCGATGAGATCTATACGTAATACTTGAACCGTGATCTTTTGTTTTGTTTTTTTTTTTTAATTTTTTTTTCTAAAAACAAATAAGAACGATAAAGGTAGGCTAAGTAAGTACTTCGATTAGTTGTATAACAATACGTTGAATTAATATTCATGTATAAAAAAACAATATAGTGAGATGAAAAATGATCGAGTTTTTTTTTAATCTGTCGCGAATACTACTACGATAGCAAAGGGAATGAGTCATAAGATAAGTTAGTTATTAGTCGGATAAATAGATTAACACCATTGTCACGATCGTAACGTTGTTCTCTGTCGTTGGACTCACCAAACAGGATACACACATGTGTTCTATGATCTCTCTACGTATCGATGTACACGTGGACTATAATCAACAATATAATCGTAAGTTATACCACATACAGTATATCTCTTATTTAGCTAAAAAGTGTATTTGAGATTTATCTCTACGAAGTCAACTTCTTAATAATAATAATAATAATAAACAATCCTTTTAATTTATTATTGCTGATATGTATTAGCAAAACTTTGATAAACGATTGGAAGATTATTATTGAGATACGTCACGAATCAACCTAAAAGATTCTTTCAAACGGTTCTTCAGTTACTGCAGTATTCTAGATATTTCATTTATTTTTGCTAGATCATTAGAAGTAACATACACGGAAGAGAGAAACAGAATTACCAATAGGAAAATATTTACTTTAAACATAATATTATTCTTCTTTTATGAATCCCGACGGTAGGTATACAATTCTAATGAACAGACTGAGAAATGTTTTACAAATAAAGAATAGAATATATTTATGTAATAATAATGTACTTATTATTGTAATAATAATTAAATATATATTTAAGGATTTTTTAGTTGGATATTTTAATCGTAAATCGAAGACGTTTCATGGCTATTAGTCAAATTGGAAATAAATATAAACGAATACAAGAATTTCTATTCCAAAGTGATTTATATTTGAAAGCAACTTTTATACGCTATTAGATCTTTCGATCGCCTCAGGGTAAAAGCTTCCAACAAAAGATTTTTATCAACAAAAGTGAAAGTGAGTTTAAATTTGATTTTCTTAGAATTTAGTAATCAATTTCAAATTAAAAAACGATTAAGAAATGGAATTTTCCAAAAAGAAAAAATAGAATAAAGGTAGAATGATTGTAAATTATCAAATATTCTATTAGATGGTTCGGAAAGTCGAAAGTTTCGTTTTTCTTTTGTAAAGATGAAGATAATAATCTTTGCTTCGAGATTAAACCTAAACCTTTCAAGTGGTCATAAATAGTTGAATTTGATAAATTTAACCTCTCGATCGATCTCATGTGTTACTATTTGTCAGTTTGCATCAACTAATGGCCATTATTGTGTCAGCAAAAAACGATACGACTTTCCGAATCACCTAATATTATGAACAAGCATATAATTTTTTAATTTTTCTTATCTTAAACATAAAAGATAAATATCGCATTAATAATATTTTCGAAAAATGATCATCATATGAAAAGCATTATACCTTATAACAAACAAAGTGTTAGTTTCCATTAAAGAAAAATTAAAAAAAAAAAAAAAAAGATAAAAATATAAGAATATAAAAGAACTATCATTAGGGTGTAATTAAATTGACATTAACCAACAGGGTTCTTCCACTAATGTTAAATACGTTCCTTCGTTTAAGTGTGAAAAATATTACTTCGAGTTGGTACAAAACTTTAAAACGTAATATACAAGTTTTTATAGTAAATAAAAGTATTATACTTCCCGTAAAAAAAAAAAAAAAAACAAAAAAACAAAAAAACAAAAAAAGAAAAAGAAAAAAGAAAGAAAGAAGGGATAAAAGAGTAACGTAAGGGTGTAACTACAACAACATCGTACTCCGCTTGGCAAAGCATCTTAAGTTCGCTAAGAGGGTGACATAATTAGTCATTAGCTTACGTCAACTTGTCTCAGGGCTGAAGACTGTCCAGGGTTATAAATACGCCGCGAGCACACGAAAACACGAAAGGAGGGAACAGCGATGAGAGAGCCCGAAACACTCTCCTCGGATTCTCAGCCTACTCATCGGTGAATGCGTTTCCGCTTTCTAGGAAAAACTTTAAAATATGCACTTAGTTTTTTTTTTTTTTTTTTTTTTTTACTGTATAT